TTTATTGAGAAAGAAGTGGAAATGGCCAATAAATATATTTTTAAAATTACATACTATTTTTGTTAAAAAATATAATGAAAACAATCATGAGATACTGTTTTTCACCTGTCTTATTGACAGGTAATTTCAAGTTTGATCATTTGTAGTGATAGTAGTGAAGGCATGGAAAAAAGGCGACTCTTAAAAGTTATTGGCGAAATTATAAATTTGTATGGCCTTTCTGGGGACCATTTGGCAGTAGAGTTGTTTGCCCTTATCCACAGTGGAGGCCTAAAACCACAGATAGTGCTGAATCCTATATACATCCTATGTTTTTTCCTATACATACATACATTTTCACTTAAAGGAAACACTTCACAGCTTCTCTTTGACATATTCAAAGTGCCAGCATCACTATTCTTGCACTTTGGGGCCATTATTAAGGAACTAAGGGTTACCTGAACACAAGCACTGTGATATCACAGTGGATCTGATAAACAAGACAGCTACCAGGTTACTAATGGGCAGGGAACATACAGAGCATGGATATGCTGGACTGAGGGAGAGGTCGCGTCCTGGGAGGGATGGAGCAGAATGGGACAGCAGGAGATTTCGTCACGTGGCACAGAATGGCATGAAATTTAAAACTTATTATTTCTGAAATTTTCTATTTAATATTTTTGGACCTTGATTGACCATGAGTAACTGAAACAGTGGAAAGCAAAACCATGGATAAAGGGGGGACTACTATATATGAGAATACCTACAATACCTGTGGGCTGGCGTCACGTATCTGATGCACAAACTCAAAGATGAATGAATCACAAAAAAGTGGTGGATGGGACATAGCATGGAATACCACTCAAATTGGGCCTGAGTTCCAGCCATGTGATCTTGGGAAAGTCACTGCTCCTCTTGGCCTCATTTTTAGGTCTGCACCTTTAAGGGGTTCAGATATTTTCACCCACTGGCATAAAACCTTCCAGTGGCCTCCCATTATACCTAGAATCAGACCCAAGTGCATCATGTCAGTCTATGTGATGGGCAGCCTTCACAATGGTTCCCAGTGGCCCCTGCTTCCTGGTGTGCACATTCTTGTGTAGCCACTACATAGTTAGTACCTGGCTTCTGAATAACAGAATACAGCCAAGTGTTGGGATATCACACCAAAGTTTTAATTAACAAAAGCCTGTCACTTTCATCTTACTCACTTTGTGTTCGCTCTCCTATTCCCCATCTGTTTTTTCCCTCTCCTTCCCTTCCTTTTTCTTCTCTCTCTCTCCCCCATATTGCTGAAACTGGGAGAGCAGGTGCTGATATTTTGAGCTGTCCTATGTAGAGGCACTGTAGGAGAGCACAGAGGGAGTTCCCATCCAACAGACAGAAAAGAACGCAGACTCTGAGTCCAAACTGAAGTGAAGTCTTTAGAGAGCGAATATAATAGTTAAGGGCATAAAATATGGAGCTCACAGCTGACGTTCAAATTACATCTCAACCACTTCCTAGATATTTCACCTTGGGCAAGTTATTTCCCTTTCCGGTATCTCAATTTTTCCATCTGTCAATTGACAATAATAATAAGCATACCTACTTTGTAAGGTTATGGAGATATTAATGTTTGAAAAATGCTTGGAACACTTGGCATATCACAGGTGCTATATCCATATATTACAAATAAAATTTTAAAATTCTTCTGACACTGTTAGCTTCAAAGTGTGGGTAACTAGTTCCCGAATGTATATAGAAAACATTTCACAAGATAGAATAGGCGAATGAACATTGTTGAATGCATAACGAGTGTCACATGTGTCATGTTACAGGCTTTCTCAAGCACAGTCACACGCAAACATACCTTCTCTGTCCTACATCTTCCTCTTCGATGCTATCTAGGAATCACTGGGGCTTCATGGACCATGGTAGCTGTGCACACTAAAGATTCTTGTCTCTTTGTCAGCAAACCCCAGTCCTGTGCTAATTCCTGAAGACCACAGGGTCTGCACCCCAATTTTTCTTTACTTGAGGGAGAAGTGTCGCCCCCAGAGCTGGACACACACAGAGCATGAGCCTTGGGGAAAATGTTTTCCTGGCCAGTGGCAGGTAGAAGAGTGCCCTGGCAAAGTGGGATTTGGGAAGATTCTCCAGGTGTCATCAGAAGGGGTGGAGCCAGGGGATTTGTCAGCAAAGACTAGTCTGATTGATGGGTCTTGATAGATAAATAGTAGGAGGGGCCAGCAGGTTTCAGAGGTCGTAACATAAAGCAATCAGTATGATGATACTCTTATTGGGATCGGCCTAATAAGGTCCAAATTAATATCATCTGTACCCTGACTGACTCACTAATCCATAATAATGTAATAATAATGTTTAGTAATAATGATATTCGTGTTCTATCATCTCCTTTGCATTTATTGGCTAGAGTAATTATTCTTTACATATTTTATCTATTTTTACAAAGTAAAGATAAAGTAATTTTTAAAATGACCCTCCCTGAAAAAGTTTTCCAAACATATTGAATGTTTAACAGTAACTAAGGAGAGGGGAATTCACAAAAAATTCTTGACCCTTAGTCTCTAGTTTTGGCTCTTCCTACTTGGTAAATCATCTTGACTTCTGACTTCTCTCTTGATATCAGTCTAGTTAAGACAATGTACAAGTGCAACCTCGCGACATTTGAGAAATATTGGTGGGACTCTGGGATGATCTTAGTATGTATGGTTTTGCTAGAGTGTGGTGGGGGAAAAGGGGGAGAGGAGACATTGGAGGGGGGAGAGCACGAGTGTTTACTTCATCTTGTGGTGGGGGTCAGGGAAGACTCTTTGCCTTGGGAAAAATTTTCCCTGACCACTATCTGTGGGCTCTATTTTCATTTGGCCTGACCAGCACTGTCCAATAGTAGCATTAAGCACTCTATGTTATAGAATTTAATTTTTTAATTTTCTATGTTATAGAATTTAATGTAGACACATTAAATAAAGTAAAAACAAACAAGCAAAAGTAATTTTAATTGTATATTTTAACCCATTACAACCAAGTTATTATCATTTTTGAATATGGTCAATGTAAAAATTAATGAGTTATTTTACATTTTTTTTTTTGTACTGAGTTCCAGAAATTCAGTTTGTACTTTCCACTTACAACTCACTCTCACTTTGTAAGTTGAATATTATCAAATATATCTGACCAGTATTTGGATTTTATAATATTCACAACTGTAAAATAATTGTCAAATAAATAAGTTGTCCAAATATATTTAAAAGTCTTCCTCTTAAAGATCATGTGAGATGAACAATGAAAAGTTCCTGTTGGATTTAGTAACAAAGAAGTCATTGTGACCTTACCCTAGAATGACGAAGGCAGATGGAAGTGTGGGATGGTCTGAGGAGGCGGTTGGAGGTGAGGACCAGAGACACATGATATAGATAACCTTTTTCAATGGTTCATGACTAAGGGGAGGGAGTAGAAAGAGCAGTGTTGTGGATGGGTCCATCCAGGAAGGGCAGGTAAGGGAGTTCTGTGTAGTTAGGAAAGACTTGTGAATGCATAAATGCTAAAGAAAGGATTCAGTTCACAAAGAGAGTTTGAAAATACAGGGCGATGTGAGAATATTGGGGTAATTACCTTAATAAGAAAGAAAGAATGAGGTCAAGATCACTATTAGAAGGTAAAATAATTTTTAAAAAACAATTAGAGGAAATTGGGAATCGATGGAAGCTTTTCAGAGAAATTTGCAGATTTGGCAACTACAGCAGTAAAATTTCAATCTAGAAGAATTTCACAATTTTTCTGACATATCAGCAAAATTAAGGGGTATTGAATATATATGAAAGAAAAAGAAAGTAGAGAAAATTTGAAACAGGCTTTGGGAAAAATCAAGGAGTAAACATGTCAACACACAAAAAGAAGGGAAATTTTCCAGGCAGTATAGATACTTCCCAGTGGATGCAGATGATTTTGTGTTTACAGTGGTACCAAAATATCATGTAGTTATCATAAGACCAGCAGTGGTTATGGCATGGCAAATAATCAGGATTGTTTGTTTTGAAGTTTTACAAGGCAGATATGATGAATGGTAAGGAATTTTGGATTATTCCAGGGAATTATTGAGATCATAGTCCATAGAATCTAGAATTTACAGGAATGTGTGCATTATGTGCTATTGAGTCATCTCCTGGAAACCCTGTGAATGAGTAATATCCATAAAGGCCTGTCCTCAACAGCCCTGCTCAGCTACTATAGACAGGAGCCTATGGCTTCTTTTATGGAGTCAGTTATCTCATATTTGGCCTTCCTCTTTTCCTGCTGCCTTCTATTTTTCCCAGAATGACTATCTTTTCCAAAGAACCTTGCCTTCTCATTGATAGAACTAAGAGGGGAGAAATTAAGATAAGAATATGGTGATCTGGCATAACTTGTAATCTTGAGGAACAGGTATCTAATATATGAGTGTTTAGGGAAAAATGTCAAAAATCAGAAATTTGTAGTGGGTGAATATATTTTCTGAATTATTTATTTTGAACATAACCATTTGAGTTGATGTAAACTTCTGGGAATTTGGAGTACGTCACTAAGAGTGGGTCAGTTGATAATATCACTGTTGATTTAAGCTCTAAAGAAGCTATAAAAACCAAATGGTCAGTGGGTTAACCACATAACACAGAAGAATGGTAGGATTTGGGATTTAGAAAAAGACTGGGGACTGTGCGTCATGAGAGAGTACCAAGACTTGTACAGTTAAGAGTGACGAGGACAAAAAGAGAATAAAATCATATTCTAAAGGAGAAGGTCTTACAAAATTTTGGAGGAAAAATGATCTGGAATGGGTTCTGTGTTTTGATCTTGAGCTTTCTGTTATTGACCTAAATTGGCTTGATGATATCCCAGGATAAAGGTCAGGTCTAGCCCCAGAGAGACAGAGAGGGTGGAAGTACAAGACAGTCAAGGTAATTGTCCTAAGAAGGCAGGCTTTATTTATCATTTGGATTCAATTTCATGATTTATTTTTATAGAGTAAAAGTAAAAGAATGGTCAAGACTCCACAGAGGAAGCATCATGATTGGGTAAATCCATCCAAACCAAAGCTGGGTTTGAGCATCTCCATCCCTTTGAGGATGTCCAGTTACATATTCAAGAGACCAGTTACTAGAATCACATCCCACCCTGGCAATGAGGTCAGATGCTATCACTGGGAGGAAACTTTGGACAAGCCCCAACAGGTGTGCTGGCAGAAGAGACTGCAAGGACTCCAGGCCTGCAGTAGCACAGGACAACTGTTAAGTCCTTTCGATCTTGCCAAAGCCTTGCAAAAACTTGTGCCTAGTTGCGCAGGTGAATCTCTGCCAGGTGTTTTCACAGGTGGCTCCATGCCCACCCCTGCTGGGTCCTCACAACTGGCAGAGATGATTCCAGGAGCTGGTGTGGGTATCCCACAGCTCCTCTGCAAACAATTTCTGGTGACTGAAAAAGATATCAGGAAACAGGAAAAGAAAATGAAGATGGCAAGAGAGAGACTGGCCATTGCATTGATTGCAGACAAACTTGCTAGTGAGGCGGAGAAAGTGAGGGGCCAAGAAGGACATCCTGAAAAACACTAGGGAATAAAGAGAAGATGGTGCAGATGAAATGGTACGTTGTACTTTGTCAGTGTCTCTCTGTGGTGTCCATAATATTTTCTTGATTTGAGCTCTTGAAACTTGAAAATATACCAATGCTTTTCTTCATTAAACTTCTTTGCATGACAGAATATATAGACAGTGATCTTTTTGAGGTGAGAAATTTGGTTTTAGGTGAGGAGATCTTTCCTCTTCATGTTGAACTCGCACTTTCCTTTATATGTATGTTATTTGTTTGTATTTTAAAGTCAACAGAGAGTCATCAAAGTCATGGAATTATTTAGTGTTTTACCTCACAGTCACAGAATCAGACCTACCTAGTTAGAATGGATTATTCTTCTTGTGTAATATTCCAGTAGTCCCTAAAGTAATATTTTATTAAATAGCTTTTATATCTATATTCTCAAATAAGACATATACTTCTAGGCCTTTTATTTTCTGTTCTTTGTTGCATGTTAATTCAGAGTTGCATATAATGAAATGCCATACTTTCCTTCATTTTTTAGATCTATATGTGTTTTGAAATATGACTCGTGAAGGTTTACATGCCATTCAGAGGATCATGATATCAAGACAGACCATTTTCAGCATCATCTATTTAACAATAAGTTACTGCTTGTTGGAATTGATTTGCCTATTTGCCTGATCAAGAGTGTCGTATTATCAAATCCTCTTTGTTTTTACTTACTTTTGTCTAGCATATCTATCAGTTTCTGAGAACGAAGCATTAAACAATAACAGAGTATCTATGGTATTTATATCTTACCTAAAAAAGAGTTGTTTTTAATTGGATCTTTTCTGTTCTCCCATGTGGTAATCATGTGGAATTTTAGTCAGAATGTATTTTCTTGTCTTGCTTTAAAACTAATACTAATTTAGATACACTATTTTTTTCTTCCTGTTGTGTTTTTCTGATTTCACATTTCTTCTTCCTGATATTTATTCTTTACTGGTCCTTTACTGGGAGGTCAACTTTGAGTCTGTCTTTCTGTCTAAAAATGTCTTTAACTCTTTCTTCGACAATAGTTAGGTATTTAATGTAGGTTCTTAGTAATTTTTTTCCTTCCTCATTAAGTTATTTAATACTTCTGAGCCTCTATGTCTTTAGTCATAAAATATGAATAAAGCACTCAAGGATAGTGCATATAACTGAGATAATGCATGCAGAGCTTGCCAATCATGTTGCTTAGCAGATATTAAGTAGTCAATAATGGTAGCTATTGTTATTCTTACAGTCTTTAGAGAGTATATTTTTGGAGAATGCTTAAGGCTGAGGATGTGAAGCTCACACCAAAAATGTTTGAATGGGAAGCATTAGCATAATTTTAGTTCTTAGCCCTTATCTTCATCTGTGGTCATTTGCGAAATGCATAGAAATCATACAATTTATTCCCTCGAACCCAAAGCAGAACAGTACACCTGTCTCATGCCTGAGATGCTTTGGGCTACTTGTTGGAGAGCCTCTGCTAGAACTGTCTAGTAGGATTTAGTGCAGAGAAAGGTGAAAAAAAGACTGAACTGTTTTTCCCTCAGATATTTTTCCCTGAGTTTTATTCATCTTTATATCCAAAAGAGACATTGTATTTATAGCATTGGTATTACTTGGAGATTCAGGCTTCCTTCTCCTACTCTGCAATGGAGGTTAGAAAGACCATGTCTGGAATTCAAGAGATTCTTTACTACCACATTTCTTAGTGTCACTATGCCCTGTGATTAATATTAAGGGAAAAGTACATGAAACCAATCCAGGCAGGATGACTAATGGCTCAGACCCATTTGGGGTCCCCCTTGTTCTTACAGGATGTTTCCAACGGATGATGTTCAAAATGCAGGTGGTAACCCTTTAGCTCCTAATCATGGGGCGGGTATAAGCTCAGAGATGAGCCTGGGGATAAGCTCAGAGCAGTGTCTGTTTTTCACCCAGACTGAAAACATTCAATATTTTAGTTGGTGAGGACTATGTCCATGCATGCTCAGAGATGATCAGTCAGGTGCAAAGCACATACGGATTCACACGTTCCATTAAAGTAGTGTTTTGGGTTTCTTTGGATAAATACCCAGAAATAGAATTACTGGGTCTTTCTTTGCCTCTTGTTATAGCCTTTGTTTTAAAGTCTATTTCATCTGATTTAAGTATTGTTACCTTAGTTTTTTATGTTTATTTGTTTTCAATTTCGTGAAATATCTTTCTGTTCCTTTACTTTCAGTCTGTGTGTGTCTTTCAATCTGAAGTGAGTCTCTTATAGGCAGCATATGTAAGGGTCTTGTTTGCTTATCCATTCAGCTACCCTATCTTTTGACTGGAGCATTTAATCCATTTACATTTAAAGTAATTGTTGATAGATATGTAGTTATTTACATTATTCATATTTTTGATATATTTTTTTCTTCTTCTGAAAGAAGTCCCTCTAACATTTCCTGTAAAACTGGCTTGGTAGTGATAAACTCCTTTAGCCTTTTCTTGTCTGAGAAGCTGTTTATCTGTCCTTTGATTCTAAATGATAGCTTAACTGGTTAGAATAATTTCGGCTGTAGGTCCTTGGTTTTCAGCACTTTGGCTATTTCCTGTCAATCCCTTCTGGCCAGCAAAGTTTCTATGGGTTCATCTTGCTTGGGATTCTCTGTGCTTCCTGGGCTTGTATGTCTGTTTTCTTCACCATAATAGGGAAGTTTGCTGTCATTATTTCTTCAAATAGGTTTTAAAGTCCTTGCTCTCTCTCTTCTCTTTCTGGTACACCTATGATGCGAATGTTGTTTGGCTCGATGTTGTCCTAGATGCCCCTTAAGCTATCCTAATTTTTTTGGATTCTTTTTTCTTTTTTCTGTTCTGATTAGGTATTTTCTGCTACCTTATTTCTAAAACACTGATTTGATTCTCTGCTTCACATAATCTATTATTGATTCCCTCTAATGTATTCTTCATTTCAATTATTGTATTCTTTATTTCTGACTGGTTCTTTTTTATGGTTTCTATCTCTTTATTCTCACTGAATTCATCTATTCTTCCTCTGAGTTTATTGAGCATCCTTATAACCTGTGTTTTGAATTCTGCATCTTGTAGATTGTTCATCTCCATTTTGTTGAGTTCCTTTTCTAGAGCTTTGTTCTGTTCTTTCATTTGGGACATGTTTTTTTGTCTCCCAGTTTTGACCACCTCCCTGTGTTTGTTTCTATGTATTAGATAGAACAGCTGTCACCTGGTCTTAGTAGAGTTTTCTTATTTAGTAAGTGTCCTGTGAGGCCCAGTGACACAATCTCCCCTGGTCACCTGAGCCGGGTGCTCCAAATGTGTCTCTTGTGTGAGTTGCATGTGCCCTCCTATTATAGTTGAGCCTTTGTTACTGTTTGCACATCAGTGGGAGGGATTTACCCATGGCTGATTGGTTGTGAGAACTGGTCAGTGAGGGGCTGACCTTATGGAGCAGAACTCTCTTTAGCAGGGCTCTGGCGTGTTGTCCTTGGATACAGCCCAGGTAGTACTTAAGCTCTCTCTGAAGCTAGCCACCAGGCATGCTGGCCCCAGTGCCCTCTGAAAAGGTCCCTGCCAAAGGCCAAGTTCAACTGCAGCCTGTGCCCTGTCTACCATCTGGCAAGAGTCAACAAATGATCTGCAGATGGCCACCACCCATTCTGGGATTAGAGGTGCCGTAAGAGGCCAAGCTGTGAACCAAGGCAAACTGCCACTAGTGCCAGGCTTGGGGCTTCTCAGAAAGAGATACAGAGCACGCCAAAGCCAGATGCTGCTTGTTTGGGTTTTGTGAATCTTTAAGAGATTTTAGGAAGGCCTGCAACATGAGCCAAAACAGGCCATTCGTGTGGGAAGGCACGGGAGGCACTTGGGATGGGACCACAAATTAGGTTGGGCAGGGTGTCCAGGAATTACCAGGGTAGGGCAACTAGTATTAGCCAGGCTGATGGAGATTCAGATATGGTGGCCACTTGCACCTACATGCTGAGAGGAGGGAGCGCTCAACAAAGAGACAGTGGATTCTGCCAACACTTCTGTCTGGGAGAAAGCTATCTCTCTAGTCCTCACTCTGAAGCCAGACAATTCAGTTTCTCCCAGTATGTCCCTGGTGCTTTTCAAGCTGCTTGTCCAGCATTGGAGCTCAGAGGAAATGAGTCCATCAGCAAGCAAGTCCTGTCTTAGGCCCCTTAAGAGGAACATCTGCAACTCCAGCCATTCTTTGTCTCACTCAGCCACAATCTCTGCTGGTTTTCACAGCCAGAAGTTGTGGGGACTCTTCTTCCTGGCACTTTAACCCTGGGCTGGGGAGCCCCTAATAGCGTGGAGGAATATGAGTGCCAGTTGTTGGACTAGCTAATTCTGGCAGCTTCTCACCCCACTAGAACAGCCCAGCAACACCCCTATTTCCCATGACCAGGGCCTGCCCCCACAAACTGCTCCCACCTTTCCATGTACCAACTATTACCCTCTTTCTGTCATTTGGGACAAGCTAGACTAGAATTTTTCAGAGAAATTTTAAGTGAGAAACTAACCAAACCATGCCCTTCCCTGTCTCTCTTCCCCTCCTTCCAGACCTCCTGCTTACCCACTGGTCTTTAGTGCTCAGCTTTTTTATTGTTATTATTCTTTTCAGGAGCTCTTCCTGAAGGGAGCAGAAAGGAGGAGAAAAAATTGGGAATAATGTGAAGGGGGTTGAGTGCAAATACCTTTTATTTGAGATCCCAAAAGATCCAAATGGACTGGATGAGTGTTTTTACTAGATCCCCTGAGCCCTGAGATTTCCATGGAACTGGGGAGAGGGACTCTCATGTTGTTACCTGGATCCTTTATTCCCATTTCCACTAAGTAGATCTGCTTTGACCAGTCTGGTTTCCATTTGACAAAGAGTTCCATTGCTATCAAGGAAACACTTGAAAATCTCCAATTTGGCTCAACCCAGGATCTGACATTAAGGAAACTGATTCCTGCAGTGGAATCACTGGCCTAAGGTCCCAGGGAGGATCAGAGACCTATT